TCCTCTTGTCTCTTGCTTTTTGGGCATGGTTACTTTTGTTCTCATGGCTGCAAGGAGTGCTGCTCTACCCAGGGTGAAGTGGCAGGGGTGAAAAATAAGGGGCAGGCAAGTTTCCTGCTTCACAAAGTTTTCTAAAGCATCACTGATCTCTACCCACTTTTCATTAGCTAGAGCCGGGTCACATGACCATTCCTAATCAAGGGCACCTGGGAAAGTAATTTTACCTGAGAACATTTAGCTGACTCCTCTGATTAGGAAGAAAGGGAGGAAGGATATTGAGAAGGCAACTAGCACTGCCTACCACCAGTAATAGAATTTAAATTCTTCCTTTTTTGGTCCTAATTGACTGGACAACTGCAAGAACAAATTCCATAGAAAGAAAAGATAAACATGATTATAAAATATAGATATAAATATGAGCACAACATCACAACAGGTTGTTTTACTTTGCAAATTTATCCCGTTTAACACAGATTTTCCTCATTTCATCAAAATCACTATGCATTTATTACCAGAGATTTACGGTTGCATTTCTGCTGCTTGGGACATAGCTCTGCACATTGTAGGGATTCAGTGTGTGTGTGCGTGTGTGTGTGTGTGTGCGCGTGTGCATGTGCGAGTGCGCGTGTGTGTGCGTAAACAGAGGGATGTATTGGTATACAATACAACACTATATCATGTAGCTTGCTGGCATATTATGGGGAGCCCCTGCAGTGGTGATTGGGGGGATGGGTTTTAGCTTTTGCTTTGGTGTGCTTTTGTCTTGGTTATGCCACTGCCAGATGGGTTACTTTCTGTTAATTTCACTTTTATAAACATAGATTTTAGGAAATTTAGAGAAATACCAGTGGAAAAGCTAGCCTCATTATGATTAACCGTAGAAGTGCAATGACCCCATCCTTTATTTAAAAAAAATATTGCTCTGTCTTCTACCTATCTCATCCAGAAAATGTCTCACTTTCAATAATTATCTTTAAATATGATTTTCTACATATGAAGTAATAGTATTGAATTTGATTTTCACTCTATAGCCACATTAAATACACATGAGTGTCATATCTCCAGTGACACTTCCCTAAAACGCACAATAATCTCTTCTCCATGCCCTGTCCCAGGTTTAGGGGCACACCATTCTCCCCTCTCCTTGAGGATGGGTCCTTTTTACCAAACTGTCTTCTCAAATATTTTCTTAATAGACAGCTCACGGCATCATGAACACGTTAAGTACCCAGCCTGTTTTGTCTTCTGGACGGAAAGTATAGTGTCAGTCACCGGTGACTGGGCACTTAACGTGTTAAATTAAAAAACAGAGATGCAGGTGAATGCCCGGAGATTCTGCCTTTCTAACATGCTCACAGCTGATGTCAATGCTGACAGTGCCTGAGTGGATTTCAAACTTGGCTGCATATTGGAATCTTGGGGAAGTTTTTATAAACACAGAACTTGTGTTCCCCCCAAAGAGCAGGATTTATTTGTTATGGGGTTCAGTTTGGGCATCAGGTTTTTAAGAGCTCCCCCAGGTGATCTTAATGTGCAGCAAAGTTTGAGAACCACTGTAAACACCAGTTAGAATAGTTTTCCCCCACTATCCCTCCACATGCAGTTTGGGAGCCTTATTTATCCTTATATGCCCCACTATGGTTGGTACCTAGGTCTGGGGCTTTTCTATCCAAGGAGAGCCTGCATTCTTGGTATGGGCTCGACAGGAGTCTGTTGAATATATCAGCATATAGAAAGATGCTTGTTCTACTTACAGGCTCTGGGAAGGCGGAGAGGTGATTCGCTTTTCATTGTAAATATGGGTCCAGCCCTAACCGGTTTGGTTCAGTGGATAGAGCATCCCAGGTTCGATTCCGGTCAAAGACATGTACTTTGGTTGCAGGCATATCCCCAGTAGGGGGTGTGCAGGAGGCAGCTGATCGATGTTTCTCTCTCATCGATGTTTCTAACTCTCTATCCCTCTCCCTTCCTCTCTGTAAAAAAATCAATAAAATATATATTTTTTAAAAAACATGGATCTAGCACATTTCTATTTACTGCAATTCCTTTGCCAGCTTCTTCCAAGGATGAGCTTATATAAAGGGTTTAGAGATCTTGGGAACTGAGGGCAGAGAAGAGAGAGGTGAGAAGGGAGGGAAGATAATAGCAAATATGAAGGGAAGAGAGAATAAGGCAGGGAAAGAGAGAAAAGGGGTAGAAGAAGAAAAATTGGGAAGAAATAAGAAGAAAAAAAGATGGATATAAGGGTATTGAAAAAAATTGTTAGATAATTACCATCCTCTGCAAGAGGTGACACAAAGATCAACGCACTTATGGTCTCATAGAAAACAGGGAAAATTATAGAAAACTGTACAATAGTAAAAGAGTAAAGGAAAATAATACCAGAGATAACACAGAACATAAAGACAAACCTATCAACAAATGAGAGTTATAGGCAATAGACAGAATGAACATTATTTATATGGGGAGAAATGGTAATAACCCTGTTGAAACGAATTCCTTATCTTTGCTTTATCAACTTGACATTAAGCATAAAGGTGGCATCTGAAGAAATAACATTTAACCTAATTTATATCAGGGAGTCTTTCAGAGAATGATTTCAATATTTATTTTGTAGTTATTTCCTCTAGCCTGGACCATCTAGGATGTTGCTTATGAATATCCACTTGGAGGAAAAAACACCACAATTCTTAAAATTTACTTGAAGATACCCTTGGATGGTTTGTCCCCGCTCCCATCTCTGTGCTGTACATCTAGAACATTCTTATAAGGATTGGCGTCTTGATACTAAATGTTTTATGAGACTAAATAATTGGAACTCAATCCACCCAAAGTGGTGAAAGTTTGGTTTCTCGTTATCGTTCCCAAGAAACATTCTTCATTTGATGTGTTGAACTTTGGCAATACAAGTCCCTTTAGTGACATAAAAGAAGCCAGTCTTTAAAAGATGCTGACAGATGTTGTGATAGTTTTTTTTACAACGGAGCTGTTTCCTGCTCCACTGCATGTAATTAGACATGCAGACAGAGCTTCCCCCAACTTACTGCCCCAAAGGGAGGGGTTGGGGCCGGCACCGCAAAGCTCTCCTTACTAAAAGGAAACACTTTTAACATGTGAATGTCTTGATTTCTATAAAGAAATGTTTTCGTTTTTTAAAATTCTGTATAAAACTAGGTTTACAGTAAAGAAAATATCATTTCTATGAAGTTCAAGCAAACAATGTGTCCCCTTCATAAGGAACTTGGATGGTAAGGACATTTCCCACAGAAGCTTGAAGGACCTGCCTTTTTAGTGTCCTAGCAGCAGCATCCAGCACTCAGTGCGTTGTCTTGCAGTCTGGCTCATCTGAATCTGCTCAACTTCCCTGTTTTATCTTTTACAAATTCTTTGCTTTTCTTTGCTTACTACTGTGGTGTTTTAAATGATAGTGTTAATCATCAAATTGCCAGAGTTTTCTAAGTTGAGGTGGTATCTCTCTCTTTCAAACTCTAGAGATTCTCTTTGCTGTATTTAGTTGGGAACTTTGTGTCTGGCTTATAAAATCTGCAGGATACCCAGCCCAACTTCAACATTCAAGTTTAAAAACATAGTCTAAGAACAAAACTGGGGCCTCTGGGAGAGACAGCACTCTCAGGGTGTCCTTCCTTTGCGAACCCCCTTCTAGAGCTAAGTCTCTAAGGTTGGCCCTTGTGTGATCCCAGCGTTACCTCCTCTGTACCAAGCAGAAAACACAGGATCTAAATTCCATGTGTGCTTGCCATATATTCTCTATTAGAGGCTCAAGAACTAGAACAGAGCAGTGAAATCGGAGGAAGCAATCAAAGGGGGCACAGGAGACCAAGGGGCCCAAATCAGAACAGGGCATCTCATTTGACAAAAAGACAATGAGAAACGCACAACCACACATGGAACCAGGTTCCAACAACAGAAACTCACAGGACAAGAACACAGCAAGTGGGCCAACATTTATAGACATGCTGCTCTGTAAGCTGGAAGGAACCTACCTTCTAGATGTGTATGTAGTCCAGGCTTGCCCTTTCCCAGGTTTACCAAGGAGGCAGTATCTTCTACCCAAGACCAAAGAATTGTCCACAAGTAGAGCCAACACCACAACTCCTGCTCCCTGTGTGCTAGTCCTGTGGGCAATGTACCAAGGAGATAGCATAGTGCTGGACAGATGGGTAAAGTGTAACGGAGATGGTGAGAAAATGTGTACCAAAGCCAATTCTTCCATTTACCTTGGACACAGGACTTAAACTTTCTGAAGTTTAATGTTCTAGTTTATAAAATGGGAGTAATATCTGCACGCAAGTGAGGTTGGTGCATAAAAGACACTTAAATATTAGCTCCTTCTTCCTACTTCATTGCATCTCAAGTTTTTCAGATGGCCCACATATGCAAAATGACCTCTTAATTTGGTCCCTTGCATTATTTTGTCCGCAGGATACAGAATGCTCCACATTTGACTGCAGTGACATTGCTAGTAACTGTTTATTCATGGCATACACTGCTCCTTCCTACTGGTAAGAATATATTGCACATTAATACTAAAATCTGACAGGGCTTCTTGTAGGCAGGCTCTGCCAACATGTTGCAAATAAAACTTTTGAAGTTTCAACAGAAATATATTTTTACGTGATAGGATGAAATCTCATGGAACTTACTGCTTCCATCCATGAACTGAAAAAGCAACATCAATAGGGCTGTTATAAACTCAGGCTCCACGCTGTCTCCTAAAGGGATTAGACTGGCTTCATAATGTGCGAGAGGCAGAAAAAAAAGCGACCCAAGAAAGGGCTAAATCCTCAGTTGTCATTAGTATTTTCTCATGTCAACGCTGCAATTTGAACAGACAGAGGAATTGACTAATTTTATATACTTGTCTGATCCTTTAGTACTTAATGAAAACTAGAATGTTTTATTTGATCCCTGTGGGAACACAGTTAAACTGGGCAGTTTGTTCCTGAAATAAAATAGCAGCAATCAAAATACTCTCAGAGTCCCTTAGAAATCAGATCAGAGATTTATTAGAAAGTAGGTGTCCCCAGCTTATAGGTGGCTGTTAACATTGTTTTATTTCCTTTACACAAAAAGTAGAAATGCCAGAAAAACGTTCTTGACAGAAAACAATACCACTGGCCTGGTCTCATTGAGATGTGGAGCCCAAACTGCCCATATTATGGAGAAAGGGAAGTTCAATCAACATTAGCAAACACTCATGCAATTGATGAAATACAAAACGGCGTCAGTGGCTTGGTGAATGTCTCTTTAAAAACAAGTTATATATACAAATATCACCCCCCAAAATGTGTCTTCTATAGGCGACCACTATAGATTTAAGGCATCCTGATACTCTGTTCTGCTGCTGGCGAGGCATTGTTCCCATGGTTCTATTTCCACAGAGGAGAGTCCAGTTTCCAATGGTGTCCAGAGGGCAGCGATGGTAAAAAAGTGATTTACAAGAAGAGTTCTTTTGGCTCTGGCTCAGCAATGTGCTTTATGCTGTAGGATTTCTTCATTCTCCTATTGATGTCATTATGCCTAAGCAGAAAAGAAACCACGAGGCCAAAATTAGATAAAACGACGGTCAAGTTACAAGACAATACCACTAACCAATTCACCAAAAATGGAAGTTATCCTCACACAAACCACACTGAAGAACACTTCATTCTAGCAGGCAAATCATTCTCTTTTCATATAAACCACTCTTTGAAAAATAAGTAAAAAACATGTCGTAACACACGGAGTGAACACTTAAATTCTCAATTCCAACTGCTGATTGGAATCCAGGTGAAATTCTATAGTCGAGTGAATTTTATCACAAACAAAATAGAAAGTATGTATAATACTGCTAATTTAATGGAAACATGAAATATTTATATTTTATTTACATGGGTTCACTGGTGACACCTTTTATTCTCCAATAAGCTTAATAGCTTCTTGTTGTGGTGGTTAATCCTCTCCTGAGGATATTTTTCCATTCATTTTTAGAGAGAGTGGAAGGGACGGGGAGAGACAGTGAGAGAGAAACAGCGACGTGACAAAGACACATTGATTGGTTGCCTCCAGCAGGTGCCCCAGCCAGCCAGGATGAAGTCTGCAACCTAGGTGCATGCCCTTGATTGGAATCAAACTCACAACCCTTCAGATTATGGGCTGACGCTCTATCCACTGAGCAAACTGGCTAGGGCAATTTAAAGTTATTAATCATTTAAAGAAGATGCTTTTTCTGTGGGTGTGTGATTACTGAGTAGTATATGTTAGAAGAACACAACTAGGAGGAGAACCAAGATGGCGGCATAGGTAAACACCAGTATTATATGAAATGCTGAAAGGTATCCTTTAAGAAGAGGAAGAAGAAAAAGGTAAAGATACAAATTGTGAACAACAAACATGCATCTATCAACAAGTGAATCTAAGAATCAAGTGAATAAATAATCTGATGTACAGAATGAACTGGTGATTATAATGAATCAGGGACATAGAAAGGGAATGGACAGACTATTCTTGGGGGGGAAAGGGGAATGGGAGATGCGGGAAGAGACTGGACAAAAATCGTGCACCTATGGATGAGGACAGTGGGTGAGGAGTGAGGGTGGAGGGTGGGGCGGGAAATGGGAGGAGGGGAGTTATGGGGGGGAAAAAGAGGAACAAATGTAATCTGAATAATAAAGATTTAATTAAAAAAAAAGAACACAACTAGGTAAATCTATAGGGAAAAGAAGAAACTAGGGAACAATAATGCTGTTTTCCCCTCAATACTTGATACCTAGTAAGTCTGTGCAAAGAAGTACCAGCTGAACACTTGGAACAGTTTTGTTTTTTTAGGTGAATTGCCCTCTGGGTACATGCATTCATTTTCATGGGATATTAGTCCCATCCTCGGGATAAAATCTTCCAGAAAGGAGTGATCTCTTGAGAGCCAGAAAGCCTCCATATTACCAATTCCTCCTTGTTGCTGCATCAGACAAAAACAAACTCTCTCTGGTAATAATGGTCCTTGCTAACAAGAGGACATAATTGGATGGAGAACCCCAACTGTGGTCTTGTAGTCTCAAAATCATGTATTATTGTTATTATTTTTTATCCTCACCCAAGGCTATTTTTCCATTGATTTTTAGAGAGAGTGGAAGAGCAAAGGAAATACAGAGAGAAATATTGATGTGAGAGAAACATCAATTGGTTGCCTCCTGCATGAACCCTGACCAGGGCCCAGGCCGGGGAGGAGCCTGCAAATGAGGTACAGGCCCTGGACCGGAATCAAACCCAAGACCCTTCAGTCTGCAGGCCAACACTCTATCCACTGAGCCATACCTGCTAGGGCATATTCTTAGTGCTTTAATAAGTACTTGATTATTGTCACAATATGAAAGATGTAATTCTTAATTTTTTGTATTCCTCTGAATAGAACTACAGAGAGTTGTCCATGGGTAAGAAAGGGAGAAGGAAAAACCCAGCTGGTTGAAAGATATTCTAAGGACTTCCAACTAAACATGGTGGATTAAATACACATTTTCTTACAAAACAAAGGTACATTAAAAAAGGAAAGACATAAAAAAGGCATAAACCTAAATGAATAAAGGTAATGGGAGAGGAGATGATATCAAACAAAAATGCCAATAATATTTCAGAAACAGGAAGGAGAATAGACAGGTGTAGTATTTCTGCTTTAGTATAAGAGACACTGTGGTCAAAAACACTAAAAAGAACACTTTCTGCAGGACAAATCCAGAATGATTAGAGCTGAATATACACCCAGGAAAATGTTAATTTGAGGCATTTATCTGAATAATATCAGGCTAATTCAAGCATCTCTGAAGCCTTCAATTACTCAGTCCTTAATTACCAGTATTCTAAAGAACAAAAGTATTTCAGTAATTCTAGCATGAATTATTCAGATAATTTGCTGGTCCTTGATTTCATTTTTGGATATAAAATCACATTCTCAGTGCCCAAAATTGGAAAGAAGAAAAGGGCTTGAATTTAAATCACAGTTTTTCATGTACTTGAATTTGCTGACTGCATGTTCCATAGCCCAGACAGCAACTTAGAGGGTTAGTCTTACATGGTCCACGGGCATGCATTACATTTCCACTGATAACCAAAATAGGGGACCGTTGCTACTTTTGTGGCCCCCTTCCAAGCTTTAGTGAGAGAGCATATCTACAAATTCCAGCTACTAAAAAATGGGGTTCTGGTTCAAAGAATGAAAACCCAAGTACCCAAACCAACACTCCCTGTTGGTAGGTGGACTTGCAATCAGAAGGCCTAGCTTTAAACAGAGCACACCACTCTTTCCATGAGATGACAGCCTCAGTCCTTCTGTTTTACTCCGCTTTTGCCCTCTTCTTCCATTTCTTCCCACCAGCTCGCCCTCTCTCCAAATATGTATGAAGTTCCTAGCGTGTGCCAGCCACCATGCTGGACACTTGGAATACATCTGGGGGTGTGATAGTGCCATCAGGGTCACTGTTCTCATGAAGTTCTTAGACCTTTCATGGAAGTCACCATTTTTTAATGGTATCCTCTTTGAATTCTCTCTTGATTGTGATCTCATTGAATGAAGGGACCATGCCTTACTGTGGCACAGCAAAATGCATGGCTTAGAGCTGATGATGTTGTTGAAATGAGTGCGCTGGCAACTCAGTAACATCCCGTATCTGCACTGATCTCTGCGTGGGAAGGAAAATCCCAAGTGACTGTGGTTGGAGCAGGGATGCTTGGTGAAGGTATTGGACGGTGCTGAGTAAAGTCTCTGTCTGGTACTTTTAAACCTCATGTAACTTGCTGATTCTTTAAAACTCCAGCCTTAAGAGAGTTTACAGACAGGCACTGCTCTCTTAGTGTGCAAGGATATCCTAGCTGTGGCAGACATGGTACCGTGAGGACTCATACGAGAACGTGTCCCTTTTGGAGTTACACAGTTCAAAACCGAACCCGGGGGGAGTGAGGCTAGGAGAGTGGAGTTGGGAGAAGGGAGTTTTGTTCTTAAGTTGTGTGACTACACTGAAACCAGGATTAGCATGCTGGAAGAAATGTATTTCCAGTGGGATGATTTTAGTTTCCAAGGCAGGTCTCCCCCTGCCCTCCTACCTATAGTTCATGATTGTTCCGCATGTTCATTCCTTGCCTTTCGAAGGCAGCGCTTTAAGACAGAACATAGGATCTTCATTGTAATAGCTTTTTTTCTTTTTCCTATGTCTCAACTCATCCTACTTTTATATGAAACTCACTGCCTTTCTGTGTCGGAATATGCTTTCTCCTTTTCCCAGGGGGCGCAAGGAGCTTATGAAAAGAAGCTGCATTTGTGAATCATGCTCTCATCAATCGTGAGAGCTCTGGCAGCTTTCAGAAAGCGTCTGCTACATTGTGCTTGGATGCTGGAAAGATCCAGTCATTTTAACCATTCCCCATAACATGGACATTTCTCTCTACACAGAATATCCTATTGGGCAACAGCCAACGGCAATGTACAGCTGTGGCTCCTTTCAGAGGAGATCCTGTCAATTAATGGAGTCTGGAGGAATGGTTCAAGATTGGGCTCCCCTTCCTTCCTCCAAGTCATATGGACAAAGCTTCAGTGTGAAATGCAGGTTTTCTCTTGGAATCAAATTTGAACCCTAGGGAGGCAGAGATGGGGGTGGGAGGGACAAGAGTTGTGCAGGGAACACAGAACACTGGGGAACTTGGGGAGGTGTAGAAAGGAAGGAGACCAGATAGGCTCTGGGGTGGGGGTGGTGGGGATGGGTTCTGGAGCAAAGATGATTGATCACCTCAAGTCAGAAATCAACTCCTCCTGACTGACTGGCTCTGGACCCAGAGCTAGTATATCAGAAATGAAAAACACACACATATACTTCAGATGAAGCTTAGAATTAGAAACTATAGTTTTTTAGCAGTAAGTCTAATGTCTGTACGTGTTACAAAATACCCTTTTAGTAATAGCACTTTAACAAACTTTCCTAAACGGTTACATTGGGAAGATTCTGTCTGCTTTCCCGGGTGCGCTCTAGAACTATGCAATCAACACATACTCAGAGAGCCTAGAAACGTACCCGTGGCTACTTATATAATCATCCCCGACAAGGATCCTTAAAAAGCATATGGGTTAAAAATAAATACTTCCAGGTCAAACACTTAAGGAAAGATTAAAATGTGGTCACTGTATTATATCCAGAGACATTATGGCAAAGATGTACTTGCTCAGTAGGATCAGGGATTCCTTTCTGGGCCGAATGCGTGTTTCCATCGGGATCTGGAAATGCTGCTCAGTGGGGCTGAGGGTCAGGTTTCAGCCAGGGCCTCACCTCTACATTCCCAGTGTCTTCCACATCTCTGCTCATTTTGCTGTTTAGAATGATATTCTGATAACAACAAGGACAGAAGTGTGTGTGTGTGTGTGTGTGTGTGTATGCACATGCTTGCCAACTGGTGGGGGTGGGCACCCTGAACTCATCTCCTGTTGGGCACAGCAGACGACCACTGCCACACACACTCGTTATCTCAGGCCAAACGTATCACTCTGTTTGATATTTGATATTTGATGCCAGCTCTTGGCTCTACATGTGTAATTCTGAGTATGGCTAATTCCTTCATAGTAAAATCCACACTCATGGTTTTTATTGCTTACTGTCTTAAAGGAGAGTATATTCTCAAGTTGGTCCTAGGATCAGGAGTCTCCTGATGTTCACCCCTCAGGGCACAGTGCCACCGTGGTCAGAGACAGTGTGACTGGTAGTGGTCAAGGGTTAATGCCCTCTGCCCATTCGTAACTGGAACCAATACTCATTTCATTTGCTACAGATCTCAGATAGACTTAAACTCTGGGAAATGGATGGCTTATTGACATTTTAAGACAAGTAATTGCAAACATTCCCTTGGAGTTGTAATAACTCAAAACCAATTTGTCCTTTGTAATAAAAAGTAGAGATAAATCTGACTGTTATAAACAAAGTCATCCTCTGCAGTTGAAACACACTGGGAAAGCTGTTCAAAGTAATAGAGTTGAATCTAATTTTAAAAGGCACTGAAAAGAAATTTAGATTCTTTCTATCAAGCTGTGACCAATTTAGAAAAATAAATAGCAAACAGAACCCCCTCACAGTGCTGACATTCTTTAAAATGTTGCATTTATTGCCCCTATTTTTTTATTTACCAGGAAAAATAAAAATTTCTCTGGAACTGAAATGTGATTCTAGTGTATGCCTGGAAATGGGGCCCACTGCCTCACCCTCCCGCCCAGGGCTATACTGACAGGGCCATTCAGTGCCATAATGTGTGGAGCCAACGCTAACCCACTGACTGCCATTGGTTTCCAAAGTTATATGAGCCTAGCAATCCTCCTACCTGAGAGGGGCCATCTGGCCTTCAAGCAAGTTCTAGGGACAAGATGTAAAGCCATCACTGATGGATGAACACCTGGGTTCCTTTCCTTCTTGCATCTTTCTATGGGATGCTTTCTCTGTGGGCCTCACAGGCAAACAGGCAAAATGAAGCAGGCACTAGTTGATTAGGTGTTTTTCATGCCCATGTTCCCATGCTAGTCTTAATTTCTCAGAGGAATCCTTATTTCAACTAGAGATTCCCATCCTTTCTGGGGTGGCTGTCTCTGCCTCTGGGTGATTATGAGTGAAAGAGAGAAATCTCCCCTCTCCGGCATGAACAAAGCAGTCAAACTAAAAACTTAATAAAGTGCAGGTTAATTTATAAGGCAAGGATGGAAATGGCCAGGATGCTTATTTAAATACAATGAATATGTTTACTTTTGGATTTCTATTTATCACTGAAACCAAATTTAATTTAAAAAGCCCGGGAATCTGATAGGTTCGAAACAGCCTTCAGAAGGCTTGCTTCTTAAACTGACTAGGGAACTGTTAACCTCATGTTAGATATCCAAGTAGCCCCACAACCTCGTGCTGTGCTCTGATCTTTGTCATCTTACTATAGTACATTGTTCAGCTTCGTTCCCTTGGTTCTAGGAAGACAGGATGAACTATTTCTGGCAGGAGAATCTACTGTGATACTGTCCTTTTTCCCAGGTGCTGAAGAAGCCTGGAAGAAATGAGGGGTCCTCCCCAGCCCCCTACCCACAGGAGTTGGTCAGTCTTTGTACTTCATTCCCTCAGGGTATCACTGGGGACTTCTGTTCAAGGACAAAAACAGAATTTTCTAGGCACCAGGAGACACACCCAACCTACGATGGGGGCAGAGAAGGTATGTGGGTGGGAAAGGTAGGTGGGGAGAAACAGAAGTGCCAATCGCAATGCCTGGGAAGGGAGCTGATATTTTTCCTGTTCCCTCCCCACCTCCAGGCACTAGGCTGTCAGCACTGGCCAAGATTCCCGGCCCCTGTGTGGCCAAAGCAGCCCAGACATAGGCAACATGTGAGCCTGCCCCAAGCAGAACTCTGGTGACCAGTCAATGCTGAACATTCAAGGCACTTCCTTCAATTTACTGAATTAATGAGACCCCTAGGGGCACCCACTAAAATGACTGCGATGTACTAGCCTGAATAGAGACCTGGAGAAGATTACATTTGATTTCGAGGAGGGGAGGGAAGGAGAGTGACATTTCTCTTAGTATTCGGAACTAAAATTCATACCCACAACACACACACACACACACACACACACACACTCACACAAACATTTTGGAGGATTTTGGAAGAGGGCTAAAAGGTGTGTCATACTTTTAATTTAAATTAAATTTTAAATTAAATGATTTGTTTAATTTAATTTAAATGATTTAAAAGTGACAGTCTCCCTTTAAAATGGGTTTGGGTTTAACTCCTCTGAAATAAACCAGTTAGGGCACTGCCTGCATTGACTCCCCTCCACTGCTCTCCTTATCTTGCCCCCTGTTCCCCACCTTGTCAGGGAGGAATGCATATCCCCCCCAGGAAGATGAAACAAAGCTAGGCTACGGGAGGACTCTGCCCAAGGAGCAGTCCAGCCACCTATGACCTTCAACATGACCCTTTTATGCACAGTCCATGCATTTCGACTTGTAACGGTTTTGTTTGAGAAAGAGACCGGCTTACTGACTGGCACTGTGGTTCCAAATGCTACACTGGAGCAATTTCAGAATGGCAGGGCCCGGCTGCTCCCAGGGGCAGCAGAATAGTGATGAAATGAGCTTTCCGTCTATGATCAACAATGAAAGAAACCCTCAGCTCTGCTTCAAAGTTCTGATTCTGATTGGAGGTTGACTCATTTCACCCATGACAGGAAATTTAATTTCTATACCTACTTGGTACTTGACTCCATGAAAACAAAGACTGAAAACCAAAGTCAACTGAAAAACACAGCATGTTTGTGAGCGGAGTAGACTCCTGGGCCCTCTGCTGCTGAAATGAAGCCCCTCCTACAGGGCACTTGCTTCCTCTCTAAGGGCCAGTTACAAGTCTGCCTGCTTCTATTCGGGGGAAGGGCTATAGGTTTCTTCTTCCTTTGTGTCAGCCCTGCTAAGTGGCTCCAGGGCCATGATTTAAAAGGTCATGCAGCCTGGCTAGCATAGCTCAGTGGTTGAGCATCAACCTGTGAACCAGGAGGTCACGGTTTGATTCCCGGTCAGGGCACATGCCTGCGTTGTGGTCTTGATCCCCAGTAGGGGGCGTGCAGGAGGCATCCAATTAATGATTCTCTCTCCCTCTCCCTTCCTCTCTGAAATCAATAAAAATATATTTAAAAAAATAAATAGAAAAGAAAAGGTCATGCAATTCAAAGCGAAGGCATGGCACCCCTGTGCTATGCATCCCCTACCCCACATACCGTGCGCAGTTTTGCAGATGCTCTTCAGTCAGCGTGTTAGAGGGAAGGCTGATGCAGCTGCTGGCCTTCTCCTAGAGGTGCAATTAAACATCATCTGAAAACATGCAGCAAGCTCAGCACATGCAAGTCTCAATGAACGGGAGGCATGCAGGGGAGAGAGCAGACTAGAAGCTTTGTGTGCACTTTAAGGAGCTGGTGGTGGTGGTGGTGGTGGTGGGGAACTGTTGAGAACATCCTTGTACTCCTGAGCAAGAGAACTTGTTCAGTTACTTGGAATAGTTTTATCTGAGCAATGTACGTTTGCTCATATTTAACCCCAAGGGCCTGGTTTTTGGGGCACAAGTGTGACTCTTCTAGAGGAAACAGATACAGCTGAAGTTCTTTATAATGAAGGCAATTCACGGTGGAAACCAATTGGGGTTTATTTAATTAGAGAGATAATAACTAAAACTTGATGTTGCTATGGCAAAAAGAATTAGACAGTTCTGAGTCCTGGCTGGGAGTTTACCTTGTACCAAATGATAAATCATGTGGGTGTGACTCTCTAGATTGCATGATGGATATTCTGGGTCCTTCCATTCCTGAGTTTTGCATTTTGGCTGCCCTACCATTTCTGAGGGCATGGCGTGCACAGAGCATGTTGGAAACATTGCCTAAAAAGATGCTCGTGTTTCTTATTCACTGGATTTAAACCACAGATTATAGTGCATGGTTTTCCAACAAATGCAATTATAAAACGTAGTTCGTGGCTCACTCTGCCACCCCCTGTGTGCTGGCAAGCACTCAGCTGCTCCGGCCTCCTGATCCACACGCAGCGGCCCGCATCATACAATGCCAACGCGGAGGTCCCTGTGGTGTATTTATTTTAAAGATCACTCCAGTGTTCAATAGTTAAGTCTTTATGCGCTCTTTAATTGGGCTTGGGAATAAACCATCCAGTCACACGAGGAAAACAAACTCTTCCTGAGGCAGACTCCACGCCCAAGAAGGGCCTGGTTTCCCATCAACTGGTGGTCAAGGACTCCTAATACTCAAGGATCAAACTGTTTAGGGAAATTTAGAGACCAGAATGTAATTTCCTGTGATTTATTTAATCTTTCTCTCAGAGTATTATCCAGAGGAATAGCAAAGGGTCTGTTCTCTAACATATCTCATGAGAAACACATAAATTTGGCTTTCCATCCATTCCTTTGGAATTTTTCTGGGGATTACCTCAAGGTGACAAAGGTCAGCAATCTGCAATGTCAAGAATGACAAAATTCAAAGGAAAAAGAGAGGTATCCTCCAAATAGCACTCACCGCCTTATTCTTTCCTTTGCTAGCAGAGCTCACGGGGTTTCCCTTGGTGTCTGTCGTCTTCCTTCCAAGTGAGGTTAAGGGCAGTGTGCAAGTCTTCAGCTGGTTGACCGCCTGATAATTATTATTATTGTTCTGGTTGCCACTGAGTGTCTCCATGATGGATCGGAAAGTCCCGAAAGGTCTTTTTAGCTGATCCCCTGATTCGCTACTTGTGGAGGTCCGCTGGAGGGTCCTGCCCTTATCTCTGTCCTTCTCTCCATTGAGTTCAAGGCCAGTTTGCTCCATCTGCACCACGGGCTCCTCAAAGGTGACTCTGAGTTTCAAGTTCTGAGATGTCCGGCGCTTGGAGGACGGAGACTTGAGGGCACTCTTGGGACTCGTGGCCACTTTCTGGGCAGCCGTGCTGTCAGGGCTGGGCAGAGTGGGGTCTCCAGAGGGCTGGTTTGGGGGAGTGGTCCCTGAGCCTGGACCATGGGATTCCAAGTCTGGTTCGCTGCTCTCTGAGGTGGGAGATGGGCTGTGGCCATCCAGAGATTTGGAGGCCTTGATCCCGAAAGGAAACCTGCGTCCTGACGCCAAGGTGTGTTTCTTGATCATCAAGTGTAAGCTTTCTGCGCTGTCTATGGCCTCCGCACTTTCCACGATGGGCTGCGGCCTGGGCCGCTCAGCCTTCCTCACGGGTGTGCTCTTGGGGTCCTCAGAGGTGTTGGAGTCTGTGTCCGACTCACTCAGTGACCGCTGCATCAGCTGCCTCAGTCGGGCTAACTTCAGTTCCCTCTTCTCCGGAGGGATCTTCTTGGAATTTCTAGAGGAAGCCTGAGTATCCTGGAATTCCAAGGACAACTTTTCCTGGGTGCAGACATTCTCTGAGATGTCTTTCCCCAGTAACTGGCGAAGGATTCTATCCGAATCTTCATCTTTTGCTTTAGCCCTGGCCCGGCTGGATGCTGACAGGCTGGCAAGGACTGGCATCCCCTCTTGGACTCCTGGTTTGCTTTTGGCTACAGACTCATCATCGGTATCTGGGGATTTCCACTGGGACTTTCTGGAAGCGGGAGAGCATGGCAAACTGAAAAGAGGAGGAAGGACACATTGGGATGATTTCCTACTGGGTTAAAATGACTCGGCCACAAGTCATGGCATGGTCTTGACTACCACTAACAACTTACAAATCAGTAAGAATGGAATAAGAATAATCACTTAATGTTTGTTCAAAGCAATTCACAAATACTCCATAGGGGCAACTGTAACCTAAGTATAGTATGCCTCAGACTCATACTATGACAAAACTTGTCTACTACTTTACTATTTGCACATGAATCCTGCACAGATTTTCTCAATTTATCCCATCTTCAACAACCTAATGAGCCTATATATCCTTATTCCCATTTTATAGGTGAAGAAATGAAAGACCCTGAAAGAGTAAATGACTTGTTCATAGTCATTGAACGAAGAAATGGCAGAGCAGAGACAAACCAGGTCATCTGACTCCAGGTCCAGTGCCTTTTCCCTGGGTTACTGAATTCTTATTCCTCTTTATAAAGCTAAATTGTGTTCTGTTGTCATTTTCTTAAAAGACACTAAAAGGAAGTCCAAAAGAAGGCTCTGAGATTTAAGAGATGTAAGGACTCCATCCACTGATGTTCCTGGCATTACCTGGGCGAAGAAAGGAGTGACTTGCCCTCGGATCTCTGGGCCTCTAGAAGTTGCTGGAGCTGGTGTTGGAGTGTGACCCGTTCCACTGTTTGTCTGGGAAAACAGACCAAGGCAGTAAACTCTCTGGTACACAGTGCCTACTATGAATCAGCAGGTGTAAAATTTTTCATGATAATTTAAAATAAGTTGCTATAAATCTGAAAGCCTCATAAATGTGCATAATCTTCATCCTTACATTTCAGAAAATTTCCCAAAGATACAATCAAAAGCACCCAAAATGAATGTAAATTTATTATTCATATGGTGGAGAACTGTAAGTAACCTAAATGCTCATCAATAAGACTGAGTAAAAAAATTGTAATTATTTCTATAAAGGGAGCTATTAAAATGATAACACACTTGGATATATATTTATTTGAAATTTCAAAGAAATATATATATTTATTTTAAAAATATATATATAGAGAGAGAGAGAGGAAGAGAGAAGAGAGAGAATACTTTATAAAGTGTATTTTACTTTCCTTAAGTAAAAAAGGAAGTTACTGTGTGCAGTATAATCTCATTTTTAAGATTATAAATCTCTCTCTCTCTCTCTCTCTCTCTCTTTCTCTCTCCAAATAAGGTCATTTTCTGAGGCACTCGGGGTTAGGACTCCAACATATTATCATATATTTCTCTCTCTCCAAACAAGGTCATTTTCTAAGGTACTAGGGGTTAGGACTCTAACATATTATCATATACTAGAGGTCAAGTGCACCAATTCATGCACTAGTGGGGTCACTCGGCCTGGTCTGCGGAATCAGGCTGAAACCGGCTCTCTGACATATCCTGAGGGGTCCTGGATTGTGAGAGGGTGCAGGCCAGGCCAAGGGACCCCAATGGTGCACGATCGGGGCTAGGGAGGAATGTGGGCGGTTGGCCAGCCGGGATGGGACCACGGGAGGGCTCTAGGGCATGTCTGGCCCATGTTGCTCAGTCCCGATTGGCCGGACCCCAGCAGCAAGCTCACCTATCGGTTAGAGCGTCTTTCCCCTGGTGGTCAGCGCACATCATAGTGATTGGTCGACTGTCTGCTCCCTGGTGGTTAGTGCATGTCATAGCGAGCAGTTGAGCAGCCTTAGCATATCATTAGCATATCACACTTTGATTGGTTGAACGGCCGACTGGCCGACTGGACACTTAGCTATTAGGCTTTTATTACATAAGATTTTTGAGAGGGTCACAATTCAAACCATAATACTTAGGCTGTAAATTAGGATTTCTAACAGAGCTGAACAGTAACTGTGTTTGTTAACTAGAAGTGGTAAAGGTATCCTGATAGGCAAAAGCACTCAAGAATGTCTTCCACTCAGAATTTTGAACTGGAAAAACCAGTGTTTTCCATTCATCCTTCTGCCCTGGAGCCTGAAGGGTACAGTGTGCCCTGGCTATACAAAGTGGATATCTCTGCTCATTTCTAGTTTGCCAACCTCACTGAGGCACATGGTGAGAAAAGTACTAGGGTCCACATGTAACCTATCCTACTTTACTTTGTCATTGGCCGAACTACAACTGTCCACAGCACTCAGCTTTGGGCACAATGGAAGAACTGCTGCCTATTAGTGTACACATGTATTTTATCCCAGGATCATCAGTAGAGAGAACAGCCGAGACTCTGACCGTGAAAAGTTCACCAATAAAACAGCTATTCCAGCTCATGAAAGCCTCTCAGGCTCTGTGGTACAGAGTCTGGGGGGAATGCTGTGTGAGCTCTTCTCTCACATGACCCTTTAGAAAAGCATTCTATTAGATCATTTTAAATTTCCTCTTTATGGTTATGTCTATACACTACTGAGGGGAGTGGACATGGGCACAACATTTTGGGAAGGATATTAGGTAGCATCTATCTATATTTTGAATATGTATGCCCTATGTTCTAGAATTTCCTTTCTAGGAACTTAGTTTTAGAAATGCCTACACATGTACAAAAAGATGTGTACAAAAAGACATGTATGTTCGCTGTGGGAAGATAACTTACTGAGTTAGTAATTTGTGTGCATTGTCTCTTCAAGCTCACTTAGCTCGCTTGCCCCAGGGGAGTTTTGTTTTTTGTGGAACTGGGTGAAGAATGCTTGCAAGGAACTATATTATTTAAAAAATATTATTATACTAGAGGTCTGGTGCACAAATTTCATGCATGGGGGGAGGGGAGGAGTCCCTCAGCCCAGCCTGCACCCTGTCCAATCTGGGACCTCTCGGGGGATGTCCGACTGCCAGTTTAGGCTCGATCCCACAGAGATCGGGCCTAAACTGGCAGTCAGACATCCCTCTCACAATCCGGGACTGCTTGCTCCCAACTGCTCGCCTGCCTGCCTGCCTGCCTGCCTGATTGCCCCCTAACCACTCCCTTGCCAGCCTGATTGACACCTAACTGTTCCCCTGCCAGACCGATTGCCCCTAACTGTCCTCCCCTGCCGGCCTGGTCACCCCCAACTGCCCTCCCTTCCCTGCAGGCCTGGTCACCCCCAATTGCCCTCCACTGCTATCCTGGTCGCCCCTAACTGCCCTCCCCTGCTGGCCTGTTTGCCCACAACTGCCCTCCCCTGCCGGCCATCTTGTGGTGGCCATCTTGTGACCACATGGGGATGGCCATCTTGTGTGATGGCATGATGGTTAATTTGCATATTATCCTTTTATTATATAGGGTATTTCCTCTATTAAAAGCCTAATCTCTTTAAAGAGAGTATTCTATGCACTGGCAGAAGGTGGGGTGAAGGGATGCAGAAACTTGTACCTCTAAGGCAAGACAGTACAAGTAGGGAGATCAAGGTTTCCCCAAACTTGTAGTAGAGCCAAAGGGTCCAAGGCCTTGTCACATGCATTTATAAATTACACTTGTAATAAGTTAAGGCCTTCCACCAAGCATACACTTCATAATTTTCCTTTAAAATTAATTTTTAAGGCTTATCATCCCATTCTGTTAATGTTATTTCAAATACTGATTCTGATTTTTAGTGATTCTGTCCCCACTATGGCAACTCTAACTTGACCGCTGTGTTTTCCAAGGGCTGACCCTGGTCTCAGGCGGGCGTCTGCTCCTAATCCTTCAACCCATCGAAGACCTATCTGTCCTCCAGCCCCACTTTATCCAAGCCTATCCTGACAACAATCCCAGAAAGCTTCCCTGACAGTGAGGTATGCAATGTGTGTCAGTTTAACAATCTCATAGCGAAAGAACTGACTGTAGGTAGACAGAGTAACATCATGCTGACTGAATAAGATTTTATGTTCTGAGGATTTATGAATCATCTGATTAATTTTTATAACAATTTACTAGTGATGGTTACCAGGTTAACTGTCTGTAATTTTCCAACTATATATTTTTCTTTTTGAGAAAACTGAGAAACTGGCCCATCTCTAGACTTTTCTTTCTCGTGAGCTTTAGAAGTTGGGGGATGATTCCACGCCTGCTCTCTAATCTGGCCCTGAGATGGGAACACACAGAGAGAGCTCTCTCTCTTTGTCCAACAGCTTAAATTCCTGGCTTAGAAAACTTGCTTTGCATTTTTCCTATTTGTGTGAACATCATTTGGCCTCTGCAGAGATGGCATCTTCAGCATGAACGCTGGCTGTGAGGATTTGGGGCAGAGGGAGAGAAGAAGATGAGAATGCAAGGAAGTCCCCATGCAACCCACATGGGGAGTTTCCTAAAGCACCTGCTGAAACCTAAGCACAGGAATGACGGGCCAAACTTTGTTCTCAGTGAGCGAATAGGCACTTACTCCTTCAGCTGCTTGGTTAACTTCACCACCTGAGAGGCCAGTGACATGCAGGTCTCCACCACCACCAGGTACCGGGAGCACAGGGTGTGCCCGTGGCGCTCGGCGCTCTGGGAGGGCTTGTCCCCCGTGTGGTTCTGCATGGTGACATTTGCTCCGTACTCAACCAAGGTCTGTCAGAAAGGCAGAGACATGGGGTCATATCAGGGCCTCCTTCTCAACATTTTTAATGACTGTAACAGAAGGTTGAATGGAGATTTCCTGTTATTCCAAAACCAGTTCCCAGAGCCCATAACAGGACAGGGTGGGGCAACCTGGCGAGCTTTCAGCAGTCGATATCAGACACCTCCTGCCCTACTACCAGCAACCCCACCCAGGCTCTGGAGGAGGAGGATCCTGGGAGGGGAGGAGGTTGCTGCCATCCTTAAGGTCCCGTCCTTTATGAGGCATGCAGGGCACAGGGCAGTGCAGAGTGGTGTCTGTGAGGAGATGCTTCGCCCCTCTCAATGGGTGGGCTCGTAACATGGGGATGCCTGTCAGGAGGAGAGTGGGACTTGCTTATTGGTGCCGATTGACTTGGGCAGCACACTTGACATGTTGCTGAGCCTAAATGATCCTGATCAAGAATAAAAAGAGCTGGAATGAAATGACATGGCCGGGGCTGGGCAGCCTGCACTACCACCATGTGCCATGGCAAGCGTATGTCCCATAGATTGAGCAGCTGAGGTAGAAGGGAGCTTGGTGCCAGGCTGTTATTACCCCATTAAATATGGGAGGGTTCTCCAGCCTTGGCCAGGTGGCTCAAGTGGTTGGAGCATCGTCCCGTACACCAAAAAGGTTGTGGGTTCGATTCCTGGTCAGGGTACATATCTGGATTGGTTCGATCCCTGGTTGGCGTTCCTACAGGAGGGAAGCAACCAATCCATGTTCTCTCTCTCTCTCTCTCTCTCTCTCTCTCTCTCTCTCTTTCTCTAAGGATAAAAAAATAGGAGGGTTCTCTAGCAGCAAGAGGCAGTGGGGTGCAACACAAGTAGAGAGAATTGTGTGGAGAAAGAAGGAGGGTATAAGGTTGAGGTCAGATCTCCTCTGTCAGGTATCAGTGGGGAGGCTCAGAGGGCCCTGTGAATACCCCACCACAGTGCCCTTCAGAAGTCAGCCCCTGAAGGCTGCCCACAGAGGGCATCAGCAGCGAACCACGGTGAGCTGAAGAAGCAGTGACAACTTTCAGGGAGTGTGCCATGATCTTTCCCAGTTAAGCAAAGAGACAGTGGGCTTTTTCTCTTCATACATCCACTTTCTCCCCAGCACTGGAGCCCAGAAGAGAGAGGGGAATAGGAGCTAGCATGGCGAGTAAACAGCCGATCATGCCTCACTCCCCCATGCCAAGTCCCTTGACCCCTGAGTCCAATCTGGGTTGGGGATGAGAATGCTTTCAATCAGAAATAAGACTGAGACTTTAAACTGGTTTGGATTAAATGTTAATAGTTAAAAGCAAGCAAAAAGTTATGGACTCCGGCCAGTGTATCATTAGTAGAGGAGAGAGAGATTTGAACGAGCATGGTTCACATCATTAATTAAAAACCAACAGCAAACTTCTTTCACATTATACTGTGATGACATTAGATGCCACAAAAAGCTGTGGCACCAACACGAATCCACTGCCACAGTCTGACATATCCTTTGACACTGTCAACATGAGATTGTAGACTTCTGGATTTACTTCGGTAATAGGTAATGTTTTTCCCACAAGCAATGCTTGTAATTTTTAAATTCCTAGACTACTTAGACTCAGGGGTCATTGAGGAGCTTCGTTTTCCTTTCAGCTTATGATCACTCACCATGAAAGGTCAATCTGCCAGAAAGCCTCCCGTCCCCCTCCCAAGAGGCAGGGGGACCACCTCGCCCGAGTTCTCCCAGCTCTCCGACACTCAGTGCAAACACAGCCTGGATCACTCCCTTGACTCAGGCCTCTGCAGCTTTCTTTCCAATGTTTTTCAAGCTCAGTCCCCTTCCCACCTCATAAGGAACCTTGGTCACTCCCTCTTCTAGTCTCAGTCTCTTTGTATTTTTTTAAAATATCACACCCAGTACACAGACCTGCTTCCAAGATTATCCAAGTTTCCACAGCCATGGTATCGAGTGCCAAAAGTATCATTTGTGCTAAGTGGAGTGATGAATGTTCTGAAAGGACAGACTGCCTCTCCTCACATATTAAAAAGAAAAATAACTGAAATCTCAAACGGAATTGGTGATATCAGCTGGTTTTCTTTGGCTTTCGTCATTTATTAGCTGATAAAAAAGTTTATTTCAAGACTATTAAATATTGGAGTGTTTTGTTAAATGGAAAAATAACGTTTTCCATTTTTATTTGATTATTTTTCTTCCACAAAAAATAATGCTACTCCTTTCATCTTCCTGCAGATCCTGGTAATAATTTAAATTTCTCTCCAATTTCTCATCACTCCTTTTACAACTTGGGGCCTTAAATTAGAAGTTTTATCCTTTGCCAACATTAGTGGGGGAACTTTTGAACACTTGGAATATTTTCTATCAATTTAGCTCTCCGAACAGCAGTTGCATGTGGGTGGAAACTCTAGAGAGCTGCTTTAAAAAAAATCATTCTCTGCCTTTTACTTTATAGCTTTTCCATATCTTCTCATGTCATTTCCTGAGTCCTCTCTACTTTCCTGATCAACTGGTTCTCACTGCCCAGTTTTCTCTTATCAGAAACAGTCTGCCTTGCACACAGTAGGACCCTAATAAATACCTGCTAAATAAATGAGCACATTAAGTTTGCAATAAAAGAAACAACACATAAGGCAACAAAGAGTGTTGCTTTCTTAGAGTTGTTATGTCCACATAACATATTTGCACTGTGTGAACTTGTGAAGTAGAAGTACTTTCTCTCATCCTGGCTGTCAACCACATGCTCTCAACGGCTCTGCTCAAGGGGTGGGAACAAAGCCACAGGTGTTGAGTCATTTTCAATGATAAGAATGGTGGGATTGGTCTGATTCTGGTAATTGTGATTCCTGTTCATAAATTAAATTTAAGGCCACATCTACACCGTTTCTGATTCCCAGCCTTTCTTCCCGTCACACTGTCACTCCTCTTCTACCTGCTCTTCCCCGACTCCTCAGCTGTCCTCTCTCTTTGCTTTGTCACTTGGAGTCTGAATGCTTTTTTCTGGGTGAAGAGGTCTATCTGGCTTTTCCATTCGTATGAAGACCCTTGCTTGGTCCTCTTACTGTGTGCTGTTATGATGGCGGCACCTGGTCAAGCTCAATTTCATGCAGCTCTGCATCTGGCTGAGGGATAAGGTGCCGACTCCTCTTGTGGAAATCCTACCCTCTCTAAGAAGCCCTCTCTGATGCCCCTCATGTGGTTTGGGGCAGGGGGTGAACCTCCCTCCCCTCTCCTGTGGCTCTGTTCCCCAACCTCTTTACATCATTGCACACATAGATTATAGTAGTTCTGGCAAGGCATACTCAGCTAAAAAGATGAGGCCCCCTGAGGCCGGTGAGTGGAGTGGCTGGTCAACCAAGGCCATGGCTAGTCTGCCCAACAGCTGAGTCCTTCCTGTTATCAACTCTGGGCCCATTTAAATGCATTTGAGAAGCTTGGTCCTGCTACAGGGAAAGACTACAGCACACTCTCTCTAACCCACTGCTCCTTTCTCCAAAGAATTCCTCTAACCCAGCAGCGGTTCTCAACCTGTGGGTCGCGACCCCTTTGGCGTTCGAACGACCCTTTCACAGGGGTTGCCTAAGACCATCCTGCATCTCAGGTATTTACATTACGATTCATAACAGTAGCAACATTACAGTTATGAAGTAGCAACAAAAATAATTTTATGGTTGGGTCACAACATGAAGAACTGTATTTAAAGGGCCAGAAGGTTGAGAACCACTGCTCTAACCCATTCTTAAAAAATCTGTCCTATTTTTCATATACCTATTTTTCATAAATCTGTCCTATTTTATATGCCAATGGTAGCAAGAACAGTCTGCCCTTTGAGAGACTGAGAGTTGTCAGTCTGGTACTGATTTCCCACTGTCTTGAGAACATGGAGGTACTTAATGTCTATTGTCCTCAGCATCCTGTGACATTCAAGGAGAATCTTATAGGGCTATTCTGCTTATATCTGTGTGGATTTGTGAAAATACAAATATAACTATATAATTCCTTATCATCTACTACAATAGGAAAAGCTGATTTAATCCATTCTCCCAGTGGATTGAACAAAATTTCCTTTTTTAAAATTACTTGATAAATGCATTTTGCTCTTCCAAGCAGCAGGGCCTGTGTACCTGTATGCACCCGAGGTAGCCATGCTGAGAGGCTACATGAACTGCACTGTTGCCATCTTGGTCCACTTCGTCCAACGAGATGCCTTGTTCTTGCATGAACTGAAGAAGCCACAGAAGAATCTTTTCCTATAAACACAAAGAGAGTTGGAATTAATGGAATATCATGTGGAGAAATCTAATATAAAGTCAGAGGGAAACAAAAACCCCAAACTGTGAAAACAGGACATAACCACCCTTACCATATCAAGAGATAATTCCCATGCAGTGTGAACTGATGGATCTCTGGATCTCTGATGTCAATGAAAGAGGAATGCTCAGCAAAGTGTAAGAGCAGGAAGTTATCTCAGAACTGCTCTTGTTTTACTTACTGTTCTATAGATGGGAGAGTTAATTTGCTGAAAGTTTGAGGACCTCCTCAAAGTCTCCCCGCTAGACAGATCCAACGTGGAAACCAGAATCCAGGTCTTTTGAGCCCCAGGCCATGTTTTTGCTACTTTGTTATACTGTCTGTAGGCTTCCAGAATATTATTATAAAACGTTGAACTCGTGATACAGCTAGCTCCCACTTTTAAGCTTATAATGCTTCCACCAGACCTTCCTAATCCCAAAGCTCCTGCAATCAACAGGCTTACGAAAGGAGGCAACACCTTGAGCTGCCGAGTCTAAGAGGACCCCACCAAAATACAACTGGCACCCTCTTGATTTTTCTGACCACGTATTGGTCATGTTTTGAAGGCAAAGCTTTCTCTTCTTCCACGTTCAAAGGAAGGCACCTACGGCTCTGAACACAAGCTTTCGAAAGCAAAGACACAGAGCAGTCGGTGTGTGTTACCAGAATCCCTTTGCATTTTACCCACGGAGTCTTTGTGGTATTTTCATGTTATGTTTGGCCCAGGCAGAAAGCAGGGGGATGGGATTTCACTGTTTTAAAATAGAAAAATGAAATAAAATGTTAAAAAAAATATGAGAGTGGTAAAAACAACAGCATGGAGTTTAGTGGGTGGAATCTGACATTTCAAAAGATGATCATGTGTTTGAAAGAGCCTTGAACCTCTCCTTAGCCTTTTAAAGGTTTTATTTCCAGTTATTTGCTCGGGCTGGTCATGAACTTTTATACTTTTCTGGATTAAATTTGCCTTCACCTTCTGAACATGCCAACTAATCTGCTAAAGGAATGTTGGATAAAAACAGCCAGCTCCTTTAATGTTTCACCCGTCATGTGGGGAGCAGGGCACTGTTTATGAAGGCATCTGGGGCATCGGGGACAGACTGAACATTTGCACCACACTTTTTCCACATGAGCAAGCAGGGAGTAAGACCCCTAAAGAGCAAGAAGAGAAAAATGTAATCAATGCCTACAACCTAGCAAGAATGCACCCAGGGAAAGCAGAGTGAAGTGTTAGCTGCAAACACAGACAGACCTTGCAGAAAGTGAAACCTTCCGCATCCCTAGAGCAGGAGGTGGAACAGAGCCTGGAGGCCAGGCTGGGAGGTAGAATTGGGATGAGGATCTACCGATAGGTCTAACCCTCTTCTTTAGAGACAAACTTGGGGAAAGTTGGAGCTGAAATTTGAACCAGAGCAGGTGATCTTTCACATGCATAGAGTAGGACAATTTGCTTTACGTTTCCTAATTGATTATTTTTATTTGGAGACAGATGATTGCACCATATGATCAACTTAACTCCTTAAAAGATGCTGATGAATGGACGTGTCTCGGGGTAAAGGACATACCACCCAGTTCGAAATCGATGGCTGAGGCATAGAAACATCAAGAGGGCAGGCTGCTGCAACTTTGCAGATGCAAAAGGCAGTCCTGCCATCTCCAGCAGGTCATCCTCAAGCTTGTGGTGACTTGGCTTACTCCACGATATTAAATCATGGGATCATCATATGCCGAGTTCGAGAGAGTTTAGCGACTCATCCAACTCACACACTCTTATTTTATGAATTAGAAAACTGAAAAAAATAACTATTTCCTGATATTCTAGCAGCTCTTTTCTTTAGAAAGTAACGTTCAGAGGAGTTCAAGATATTTAGAAATGTTTTATAGGTATCTTCTGGTCAGGCATACTTTCATATTTTTCAGACTCAATAAAATATTATAGTGGATATGTCTATTCCATAAGCACGGAAAATGTACTTTACAGTAATTCACAGAGCTCTGACTTTTAGTAATGGGGTGGTAGGAAATGGAATACTGCATTTCATATGACTAGGAATTTTTCCCTTGTAGAAATCTGGGGAAGAATCTAGCCACCTGTTTTCTCCAACTAAGAAGGCCCTTGATGAATGCAGGGGTTGATAATCTGGGAGAACAAGACAAGTGTGTGAGGCAAGAGTTGCCTTGGCTCCTGATGGCTCTCCAAGTCAGGTTCAGCCTATATTGTCACAATGACCTGTCTTCTTTTCTTGTGATGGCATGGGTAACTCTTTCTTCCTTACAATTAAAGATCTCACCCAATTCAATAGGCAAGACCTACACAAAGGAAGGACCATTACTTGATTGTTCACAATAAGACAGGCCTTTGCCCAGCACCTCAAGTTCAGTTTTGTGTTCTGCATTAGACAATTTATTTTAATAAAAAAATAAGCCATTGGCTTGTCCACTGAGACATTATATAGAAACAAAAATCTCTTCCACAATTACCAAAAGGGTCTAGATGACTATATACCTGTTCTAACAACTTGGGATTTCTAACATCTAGGATTTCAGTTCTAACATCTAGGATTTCTGATATGGACATGGAGATAGCTAGAATCCCTGGTTTTGGTAAAAGCATTGAGCATCCGCTTTCAGAGAAAAGTTGCTTTCTGCTCTTATTTCATTGTAAAGATCCTACAATTTAGACAATTTAAACTTAAATATCTAGTAAGGAGAACTGAACAAATACAGCTGTTTTCTCCAATTAAGAAGGCCCTTGATGAATGCATTTATACCATGGTGTCCACCTCTTCTCTCTAAGACCTTTAACATCTAACACACACCTACCTATCACTACCCCTGCTCCTCTGAAGATGTTAGACGAGCTTCATTTTTCCTAAAAGTATTGCTTTCAGAGAGCATTCATTGCAGTCACATGGATGGAGAGGTTCTTCTGTATTATTTCTGTTTAACAGCATGCCTCTCCCACTTATTCTATCCATCTACCCACACATCTATCTATAGCCATTCAACTTTCATTATTGACTGAACACTTCATTCATCTACTAGTTTCATCTTCTGGGAATGTCTACGCTTTTCCTAAAGACAATGCAATTGTTTAAAGAGGCAATTAATTAATATATGTAATTTCTGAGATTGCCAAACAAAGTCTAATAAAAATGTAGTTGAAAAGTATGCTTCAGGTTTATTATTGGAATAAATAAAATCCCTGCAGTTTTTGATGCAACCATAATTGTTGAAGGAGGAGCGTTCCCTGTGGTCATAAATCATCAAATCTAATACATCCTCACTTATAAGATTCATTCTGGTCTAAGATGTTAAAATGTAAAGTAAATGGCCAGTAATGATTTCATAATGTCATTTATTGTGAGATAAATGTAGAATCTAGAGATAGTAAAATGTGGGGGGAAAAGTACATATAAGAATTGATTAAGAACTGAATAATTCTTTGGTAAATTTTTCTTATATTTTACTTATGGCGAAACAAACTAAGTAATATTGATAGCAATAAAAATAATAAATTGGAAGCTATCTAATCATAATAGCCAACATTTATCTACTATATGTCCACAATGGGCAGAGCTTCATGTGGCTTTTCTCATTTAGTCCTCAGAGCAACCCTGTGAGGAAACTTCTATTAACTCCATTTTTAAAAAAATCTTCACTTGAGGATATTTTTTCCATTTATTTTTTAAAGAGAGTAAAATGGAGGGAGGGAGGAGAAAGATGGAAAAACATGGCTGTGAGAGAGGCACATTGATTGATTGTGATTGGTTGCCTCCCACAGGTACCCTGACCAGGGCTGGGGATCGAACCTGCAAACCAGGTGCATGCCCTTTGACTGGAATCAAATCCTTGACCCTTTCAGTCCTCGAGCCGAGGCTCTAACCACTGAACACCAACCAGGGCTATTATCTCCATTTTAAAGATGAAGAGACTGAGGTCCAGGGAGACCTTTTCTTTAAAAAAAATGTATCAAGGCCATTGAGCTAGTAAGTGGTAAGGCTAAGGTTTAAACACAGACACTTGACTCAGAAGTCAATGTTCTCCATAACTCTGTTTTCTAACTTCTGAATATGAATATTCACAACTACGCAATGCCCATGAGCTTTGGCTCCATAAATGACACCCTTGCTTTGCACCCTTTGGGCCCCAGAAATCATGGTTAGCTGCCTGTCAGTCTGTGGTGTCATGGGGCTCCGTGTTGGTTGTGATTTTTCCCAGATTGGTCCTTGGAGAGCAGATGGATGCTCATGCTAATCGAAGGTTTTTCAGTTTTGCTTTCATCTGCAATTGCAGCACTCTCGGTGTGTTTACTTATTTCTACCCCATGATGGTGAAACAATAAAGTCAAAGGATTACTTCCCCTTTTAAAAGTAAATTGTGGAAAAACAGTAACACAGCCTGCGGAAGCATTCCCCCTCACCAGCATCTATCACTGTTCATGACCATTCCTAGGAATCGCTGAGCCTTTTCTTTTTTTTCAAAAAGTGCCCATGCCCTCACCCACCCAAATCTGTATCAGGGCAAACATCTTTTTTAAAATAGATTTTATTGATTTTTAAAGAGAGGAAGGGAGAGGGATAGAGAGCTAGAAACATCGATGACAGAGAAACATCGATCAGCTGCCTCCTGTACACCCCCTACTGGGGATGTGCCCGCAACCAAGGTACATGCCCCTGGCTAGAATCGAACCCGGGACCCTTCAGTCCGCAGGCCGACGCTCCATCCACTGAGCCAAACCGGTCAGGGCAAAGGGGCAAACATTTAAAAAGGAGAATGAACACCAGAGTGTGGACAAAGGTACTCTTGGTAAATGCCCATTGCTATGATGAAAGTTGTTCTTGCAGCAGAATCTCTTGACTAAAAGTCATGTGAATGCTTCAGAAACAAAATGATCACAGGTGTGAAGGTGAACGTAACAGCCCACTGAAGCAGCGACCAATGCAAAACAGGCTGAAGCCCCAAACAGCTGAGGGCGAGAGCTTTGCTGGATGAGACCTTCTGAACCTTCATGTGCGAATAAAACAGCCCAAATTACACAGGTGGTAGCCTTGACTTGAGACAATTCAGCCTCAAGGGACAGCAGAGCAGGCCTCTCGAGGACATCCCCGCTCATTCCTGAGCCTCCCCGAGGCTCTCACCTTCACGCTCCCTGGGCTGGCTCTGTTAGGTACAATCAGGCAATGAAATAATTGCACCCTCTGAGACTTCATGTGTCAAGATGAGGAAAATCAATTCCTATCGCCCAAAGCTCTATCACTGCAGGACACCACTAAAAACTGCTGCCTACCTGTGGTACTGGAGTCTTTAACGATAAATTTTTATTTAAAAAAAAGGACACAAATTGGGAGTCAAAGGGAGCCCATTCTTTAAGAATCTACATGAGGGGCAGAGGGCAACTAAAATAAACCAGGAGAGGAATTTTTCTCTGTACTATCCTTTTCAGAGGTATTTACTAAGGAAACAAAACCAGAGCACACTCAAGTGCCTGCTTGATGTAGAAAAACTTGCATGTGCTGAATCCATTAGAAAACTGTTCAATAACAGTCTTCCTTGAGAAAATATTAGCCTTGTAACAGGTCCAAGTTCAGCATCTCTGCAGGTTATCTGTTATATAAGTCGCTGTGGCGATGTAGGATGGCTGGACAGAATTCACAGATCTAATGGGTTTCTCCATTTTCCCCTCGGGTAGGAATGCTCTCCCGAGGGCGCTGCTGGGCTGCCCTGCTCAGAGCTGTACTTGAGGTCATTAAAAATGCTTATCAGCTTGAAATAACAACCTGAAGATTGATATTAGCATGAAGCAAATGTTTGACACCGCTCTTCACATAGGTCAGTAATTTCCATCTTTTCCTCTCACTCAGCCAAGTAAGCCACGCTATCACCCAACCAGTCCCAGAAAGGGCACTCTCTTTTGTTCTGTCCCAATAGCTTCCAAATTATGAGAAACCTGCTGTGAGAGTTGAGCAGGGAAACTGGCATATATAAGCAACATTTCCCAAGACAAAGAAGGCCGGATGCCCAATTATTTACTTAGAGTCTCAGAACAGGCATGCGATCCTTTCCTCCTTTTCTTTGGCAAACTTGACCAAAAGCGCAGGCAGCTTTTCTCTAATATCAAAATTCCTTGTTAGACTTTATATAAGCACATCAAATCAGGGACATGAGACAATTATTCTAACAATTTGAGAATAAATTAAATTCTGTTTCATACTGAAAACTATTTCTAAAGATTAGCAGGGATTAAATTATTTTGGTCATTTGAAAATTGTCTTCTGCTCTTTGCCAGTGTAAGTCAACAAAATGGGGGAGGGACAGCCTTAGCAAATGCTTATTAACTATTATGATTGTTTGTAGGATACCATGGCTGTACAATACACACACAAAATGGAGTAATCCTTTCAAAGACAGTGGCTTCTACAAATTTTAAATGTCCTTCCTGCTCTTTTCTTCTAAACTTAGTACAGGTGCTCACTTCTTCAATGAGCTGCATCAGGTACTCCATATATCACAAAGTATTGTTAGATAAAATGGTAAAAAAGATTTCTGCAGCTAAATCAATGCCACTGTGAGTGAGTTTTACAAATTACAGAGAGAGACAAAACAGAATCTAGCCCCGAAGTCAGAGGACTTGAGATCCGGTCTTTGCTCTTACTAGCCTTGAGACTTGGGCAAGTCACTTAGCTGTCTTTCTTCAGTCTCCTCTATAGTATAGAGTGGGGATAAAAACATGACCTAACAGGGTTGTTTTAAGGAATAAGTAGATAATGTACACAAATTCCAATGACATGGTGCCTAGTAACATATGGAAAACAGTACATATTAATATATATTTTAATTGAAGTCACGAAGACTCCCACTAAAAAAAAAAGACTGTAGTAATATTCTCCAAGTCAATTTTTTGAACTTGAAATCGTCATGCTTGAAAAAGTATAATCTCTTGTTGACAATATCACAATTTACTGCCACTGGGGAAAGTTTATGAAGCCAAAGGGGATACGGTTATATGCATGAGAAGCAATTTTCTTTGCCACAAACAAATATGAGTGAATCTATTTTAATATAGTGCTGACTTTATTTATTTTTTAAAGACTGAGATTGGCATTTTGTGGTCCAACTTTTTTTTAAAAGATAATTTATATTCATTCCCTCCAAGGGAGTTAGTGATGATTTTTCACTCCATGCACTGGATTGTGATCTGTGTATATCAATTACTCACACTGGGCTTTCCTACTGTAGAAATTGGTTGTCACTGAGACTCATCTAGTGAGCGTGCTTGTTCATTTTTAATAGAGGGAGACTTCCTTGATCAATGTCTTACTAAATATTTTCTTCTTAATTTTGGGTTCAAGAATATCATATTTTGAGCTCAGTTGGTTAGAACATTGTCCCAATATGCCAGGGTTGTGGGTTCAATCTCCAGTCAGGGCACATACAAGCAGCAACCAATACATGCATGGATAAGTGGAACAAGAAATATCTCTCTCTCTCTCTCTCTCTCTCTCTCTCTCTCTCTCTCATCATTAAAAAGAGAATATCAGCTTTCTTCTTGACAGAAGTTAAATGTTTTTATTGTAGAAAATTTGGAAAACACTTAAAAATACAAAAGAAAAAAAGCCACATGTAATTCCACTCTGAGTGATAACTACTATAAATAGCAGTGACACAATTTTTTTTTGGTCTTATTACCTGTTTCTCTTTCTCTCTCTCTCCAAAGTTCAAATTTGGTACCCAATTACAGGAACAGTTTTGTATCATAAATTTTAACCTAAATATTTTATAATGGACATTTTCCTATAAAATTTCATCAGATAAATATAGCTTCATTATTTATCTAATATCCTACTATGGAATTTTAAGTTGTTTTAGAACATTTTTTTCATTAAAATGCTTAGTGAATGTGATTGCTTATCAATCTGATAATTAAAAATTCTTCATACCTGGCCAAAGCCACCTGCGTAATGAATAAGGCTTGGAAAATCCTTAGAACAACTCAGTTCTGCAATGGCTTCCGTTTCACTCACCATCCAGCGCACGCACTCTAACTGACCATTCTAGATTTTAGAAAAAAGGGAAAAAGAAAGAAATTTAATTTTTACTTTTGTATCAGACTTAATTTATTTACAACATAGGTATATCGCCTATTATATTTCTGATATGTGGCTCTGGGTCTAAATAAACAATAGAATTTATTTAAGCACATTTTCATAATTTTCATCAGTTATTTTAAAGTCACTATATTGAGGTATAATCTGCATACTATAAAATATACCCTTTTAAAATATACAGTTTGATGAATTTTGGCAAATACATACTCACTTGTATCTACAACTCCAATCAAGATTAGAACATTTTCCATCACCCCACCCCAAAACATTTCTGCTAGCCTTTTGCTCTCATTCCCCTCACCTTTGCCCGAGGCAAGCCCTGGTATGGTTTCTATCACCATAAAATTCTATCTCTCTTTTGCATCTGGCTTCTTTCATTCAGCATAATGCTTCTGAGATTCATCCAAGCTACGGCTTATCTTAATAATTCATCCCTTTTTATTGCTGAGAAGTATTCCATTACATGCATATATCACATTTTGGATACCCATCAACAAACTAAAGAAAGACAAAGTAATCCCAGTCTACTGGCCCCAGTGCTACTTTCCCTGAAGGCTTCCCTGACTCGTGTCCACCAGAGCTCTTTCCTCCCGTGCCGAGGTCCCACACTGTGCGATCCAGGAATGCAGTTGTGATATATATAACCTAGTGACTAACACCCAGACTTTGTAATGGATTTAAATCCTTAATTTACCACTTAGTTACAAGACCTTGATCAAGCTACTTCACCTCTCTGATACTCAATTTTCTCCTCTGTGAAACAGCAGGGTGAGCTGTAACCACCTCATAAACGTACTGTGGAGATCAAATGAGACGAAGCACGTCAGCTTACTAAGCATACAACACTTGCCACCTTATACTATCAAAGTGCTCTCACTCTGTAAGACAAATGAGACATTCAGCTGCCTCCCTGGTTTGCATGGTGTGGGACCTAGCAGAGGAATAAAGAGCTACTGTGGCATGAGCTCAGGGAAGTCTATTCTAAAAACAAGACAGAGGAGGTAATCTGTTCATTCTTCATTTACTGCTACAGAGTTTCAAGTAGTCATCTCACAACTATACACACGCAGAGTCTATTCCCTCCATTTGGAATATCTAGCATAACCAACAGGGGGTTTATTGAACAGCTTCCTGGTGCCTCATTCACATCTATTGCCTCCCTCTCTGCCCTCCTTGCTGCCTGGGGAGGCTGATCTGAATGCATTGGCTCCCGTGCCCCCTGGCTTCTGGCTGGTTTTGATTGATGGAGGGTTGTGGCAAGAGACCAAGAAAGGAGAGTGAGTTTGAGGTTCCCTCTGCTCCTGGCTCCCATTACCCCTCTATGGGGTTGTCATTGGCTGGCTGAACCAATGACAGTCAAAGGTCAAAGGTCAGCCAGTCTTCTATGCAGCCATCTCTCTCTCAGGTCCTTCCCCAGTCCCTTCAGGCTCTGGGGTGGTAACTGTGCTCTGGTTGTGACCCCCAGATATTGTGGGCTCCCTACACCCTACCCACCCTCCTCTTGTATATAAATCCTTCATTACTGACTTTCCTTAAGTTATATAATTTGAACACTGCCAAGTGTTTTCTACCAGGATTTAAAAAATCACACTGATATAATGTGCTTCATTCCCTCTGGATGAAGAAAGGAATGGGACCATATTGAGCATCTACTAGGCAAGACAGTTTATATAAACTGGCATTTACACAGAACACAGAAATAAGAGGCAGCATTTCTGATTTTAATAATTGGGTCTTTTTTCTTGGTCTAACTAAAGGTTTATTAATTTTTTTAATCTTTTCATAGAACTAAATTTGGTTTTGATGATTTTCTCTATTGTTTTTCTATTCTCTATCTCATTTATTTCCACTTGGATATTTTTATTTCCTTCCTTATGGTTGCTTTGAATTTAGTTTGCTTTTCTTTTTCTAGTTCCCTAAAGTAGAAGGTTTGGCTATTGATTTGAGATCTTTTTTCCCCTTTCTTTCTTTAACATAGACATTTATAGCTATAAATTTCCCATTTAAGCACTGCTTTAGCTCCTTAATGTTGCATTTTCATTCATCTCCAATTATTTTTCAATTTCCCTTGTAATTTCTTCTTTGATGCAATGATTATTTTAGAGTTAATTCCATATACTTGTGAATATCCCAAAATTCCGTCTGTTATTGATTCCTAATTGCATTCCATTATGGTTGAAGAACATACTTCATATGATTTCAATCATTTTAAATTTATTGAGACCTGTTTTATGGTCTAACATATGGTTTATTCTGGAAAATGTTCAATGTGCACTTGAGAAGAATTCTGCTGTTGTTGGGTAGAATGCTTTGTTACATGCCTAGTAGGTAGACTTATTCAAGAGTGCAACGTTTAAATAGGGCAAAAATAAATATATCACTACTATGGGTTTGAAAGCAATATCACCTGCCACAAATAGAAATACCAAGAAAACAAAAAATGTTATTAAATTCTAGTGGGAATTTTTGCCTGCTAGTCTCTGAGCCTGGGGTCACTCACTGTATGTTATAAAGGAATGTCAGTTGGTTGAAGTCATTTTTCTCACCAAACCAACATTTTCTCTTAGAGCTTCATCAGAGGGATTGAATGAGAAAAAGTAATTAAAGTAATTTCATTCCCAGTCTGTTTAGCTCCTAAAATAATTTCTTGTTATAGCCCCATTTTAGAAAACACAATGCTTACACCTTATAGAAATTTTCTTTCCAAAGGGCCCTCAGTAATGCTCTGAATTCCTACAGTATCTAGTGTTGGGTCCCCCAGAAAACACCCAATAAATTCTGCATGTAAGTGGCAAGAATTTATGATGTTCCATTTAAGGAGTTTATGAGTGGGAGAGAGATGTTCTTAAGCCTTGGTATTTCTTCAAAACTCCTTTTTCCCCCCTCAGGTAATCTTTTTATTTGATACTCTGTCTCTGCCTCTGCTTCCTGTCTGCTTCAAGTCATATGATCTGAGCAACTTCTGCCCCTTTTACCAAGTTTGTTTGCTTAAATGACAACAGGGCTGTCAGAACTGTGCTTCATGAGGTGGAACACCACCAGCCTGTTACTGGTGTTCAAAACAAGGTCCTAAAACAGAAAATGCAGACTTCTTAGGACTCTCTCTGCATTCATGTTCTCCAACTACACTGAACACACCAAAGTAGGACATATGTCAAGACAGATTTCTAAAGAGGGTGGCACTGGTTATAAAATATTTGTATTTACTGCTTTTGTGAAATCTAGGTTGAATGAAAGCATAGAAGAAAACTTCCGTTTCCCAAATCAATGTCCAGAAGAAAAGCCTGGGGCCCCAAATCTATAAAATCTTTTGAGTCTTATGGGTTTGTATGTGTTCTTCATTAAAACAAACAGAAGTGCTAGGTTTTGCCTACTGATTGTGTTATGGCAATACTATGTTGACAGGAGGAGTTCAAGGATGAATAATACTTACTATGGATACCACAGAGGGAGTTTATGTCCAGGGTTGGCTTAATGACCATTGAGTTTCTTATGTACCTTATTACTTTAAAGGTTCTTAACTTATCAAAACAGCACTAGGGCATATAAATTATGAAAACATTTTTCATTCAATTGTACTAGTATAGTTAGAATATATTCAATAATCTAGCATGAGTCAGGAAAACTATACATTGGAAGTTATAAATATTTTATAAACACTCAAACATGTAGTGTTCTAATGTCAATGTTCATTGGCATTGCAAGAATATTTTATTCATTGCTGGCATGTGACCATTGATGACCAGACTCAACCCCTACCTTCCCACAGGACTCTGACAATGGGCTAGATCTTGAATCTTCCATCTACACTTGAATTGCTGATATTATACCCACCTTATCCACCGGGCTATCAGCTTCTTAAGAAAAGGGATTATGGCTCATTCAAAGTTTTATTACCATCACCTAACACAGTACCCAATGGACTTGGTACATATTGTTGAACTCAACTATGCTGAACCTTGACTTCACATTTGATTTCTCTTTCTTCATGATGGTTGCCCGCAGGTCAGCTCTTAATTTGATATAGTATCACTCACAACTAAAAAAAAATGATATTCACTGAGCTTGTAGTTTTACCAAAAAATTATTTTTTACACTATCTTTGAAATAATACCTTATAATTGGGTAAAACTAAATAAAACAGAAAACAATTTTTAATATATAAGACTTTACTAAATGGTAAATAAAGGTATAAAAATTCAGATTTGCATAAAAGATATATGAGGGGTAAGACAGCAATGGCTTGCTTTTAAATGTTATATGTTCTTTGGTGATTTCATAAGATTTCTTTAGCTAGCAAGTTCCCCTAATAAATTTCAATATAATTCCATTAATAAAAATTATGATTATTCAGCTTTTAGAAGACATTATTATGTGAAGTACATGTGCAGAAGCACAAGATGTATTATATTTCCCTAAACTTCATTTCTAGCTTCTTAATAAATATGACTGAATTCCACATTTATTTGCCAAAGTCCTTAAAAGTAATTTTAGTTTAATAGCTAACCTCCTAGTGATGTGTGATATATTTCACAGAGGTGCTCACTGCAAGGCTAAAAAAAGACCATGTCTTTCTGTATCACAGTTTCCAGGGTTTAACTCTGTCCCAGTCGCATTAATTTGTGTAGTTTTGACACAGAGCCTACTATGCTCTACAGGAGCTAAACACACACTTGGCACTGATATTCCAAACAACTCCTGATCCTGAAGATACCTAAGCTTCAGATGTGATCTGTGAGAAGCCCACTTCATTGTCTAAAATACTCCTGAGGGCTACTACCTCTTTGTCTTATTCATTATACTCACATCAGGGGGAAAAAAACAGCCTCCAATAGATCCAGGTACAGTTCAGAGTCTAAACTGCAGTCTCCATGAATAACAGAAGTTCTCAGCAATGCAAGAGACCATTGCCCTTTCTCTTTACTAGCTGATTTGAAGCTCACCCTCATTGCACAATAAATTGGAATGCAGTCTCAAAATCTCAAAGCAGTTAGGGAAATGATTCATCTCTTAAATATAACATGTGCATTTGCTGTTTGCTTGGTATAGCACTCTTCTCTCCCTCTCCATCCCAGCACTTTAGCTCACTAGGAATCTTAAAAAATAGAAATCTAACTTTTAGCTGTGGAGAGCCCAGCCCCCAACCACTCACCTTGATGGCCAGGCCCGCTGGAGTCAACTTCTCGGCATTCCGCTCGTTGAGGCAATCTTCTCCCATCAAAGAAGTGAGGTGCTGCAGGCACTCCGCGTGGCCCTGCGACGCGGCAATGTGTAAGAGATTGTTTCCACTTTCGTCATGGATTTTGTCTAGATTGTCGGCAGCTAGGTGTGGCTGTACAAATAGGAAGATGGGAAAAACTCAAGTCAATAAATCCAAACGACACACTCTGGGGGTTTTGCTCTGGGTGCTGAGAAGAAGAGAAAACCTTCCAGGAGCCTTGGTGACAGTCACTGGAGCCCGATAAGTCAGAATTCCTTGCTATAAATTCTAAAGCTTTTCCATTGCGTTGTTATATCATGATTCAGAACATAAAAGCTCAAGAGACTTATTTTCATGTGAGGCATGGTGACAGGGATAGGTCGCAAGCTCGGGGAGGTTCCAAGCTGGCCTGGAAACCACTGTGATGACAGTTATAGTAACTGGCAGGCTTCCTGTCTGTCTCCTCCACTCCACTGCTAAGTCCTGAGGGCCAGGTTGTGCTACGTTCCCTGCTGTACATTTGTTGAAAGGATGAACTACATCTCTCAACCACCTGCTTTGCCTTGAACCATGGAGAACTGGCTTGGACTGCAAGCTAGCTGGTGGCTGCTGTGACCAGTGCTCCCAGGGTCCCTCTAGACACGTCCATCCCCAGACATGCTCTGGGGGCATCGGGAGGCTGCCTGCCTTTGGTTTTCTCACCTCCCGTGAAGTTCACCCCCTGAGTACAAACTGGTCAATAAAGACCGTTTGTTAAATTGAGAGGTGCTAATCATTTGGGAAATATGGGAAGGACAAAAGAAAGAAATGAACCAAAGAGAAATAGAGAAGAAGAGCCAAGAGAAATGGAAAAGACATTTTCAGGAGAAAAAAAAAGTATTACTTTATTTAGTAAAATTACTCAATCATATCATCCTATTATAATAGTAAGATTTGTGATAATACAGCAAACACACTGTACTTATCTACCCATGGTTTTAACCTAAGTAGAATCACACTGCCAAGATGTGATGGTTTTCCTGAATGAGACTTCAATTAACATCACTGTATTAGCCCAGGCTTGCTACTGTTTCATCCAAGTCTGGAAGCCAGAAAAGAACAAGGCAGGCAGATGGAGTGTGATTTCAGTTCAGCTCCCTGAGCCTAAGCAGAACAGACTTTTCTTACATCATGTTACTCTGTGTCTAGAGTCTTTAGAAAAAGCTTCCTCATGCTCCCTAGACATGCAGAGCTGGAACTAGTCACAGCCCCATGTGGCTCAGAGGGCAATCAAGCTCTAGGGTAAGCATCTATCTGCAAATGCTTCCAAACATCCTGGTCCAACTCTCCGGAATAATAATCAGGATAAAACAGAAGACCCTCTGTTCACGTATCTGGCAGGTCCACCTTCGGCAAGAAACTGACATCCCCACAAAGAAGTGAGTGAGAGCACTGGAAACCATTGGAAAGCAAAAGAAAGACATTAAGATTCAAGTGAGAGAAAAAGTGCTGGGCTTTTTTGTTTTGTTTTTGTATTAGATTAAGTGTCCTGATTCCAGTTGAATTTATGCAAACTTAAAGTGAAATAACACTCCCTCTATAGTCATTTGTTTTTCCCTGTCTTAACCTCCAAATTTTTATTTTAAAACTCTAAAGTCAAACCACCTAAGTAAAACCACAAGTAAAGACTGCATCACCCATGGACACAGACAGTAGTGTGGTGAAGGCCTGGGTGTTGGGTGGGTCCAGGGTGGAGGGGGTCAATCGGGAAGGAGACATCTGTAATACTTTCAATAATAAAGGTACATTTTTAAAAAAGAATGGGAACCAATGCATCTTCATTCTGTTATTAACGAATGGAGCTGACACACTAGTCGCTGAATGACTCCTATGGATGCTGAATGCGATCGTACTTACCAGGAGAGATATCTGTCCTTCTTTAACGATGTTCAAGATGCTTTTTACTTTTTGCAGATACTCACTCCTTTCTTCGGGGCCTTGGGAGCTGGTCCAGCTCAGGCCGCCGACCTGCTCTTCCAGTTTGGGCTCCGCTGCGGAGGTCTGCAGATGGAAGGCCCTGAGCTGGCAGTCCGGCAGGGGCTTCTCCACGTTTCGGCCGTGAGCGTCACTGAAGGCCTTGCTGAGGAAGTCCTTGCTCTGACTTTCAGGCTCATAGGCAGCAGAACCACACTTCGCCAGCGGCGGCGAGCTCTCGGTGTCTTCGGGGGAGAGCTTAGGCTGGTCGCGGAGGACAGAGGACGCTTTTCTCGGGTGAGGGCTTTTCACAGGAGAAAGGACACAGAACGGTGTGGTGGTGGACGGTGAGTTCTCAGCATTTCCTGTCGCGCAGACTTTGCCAGAAAGGCCGTTGATGGTTGTGCATAAGCCCAAGACTCTTTTTTCTGGAGCCATCTTGGGGAAAGGGGCGAGCTGTTGGCTGGATTTAATGTAAGGCACATCCAGAATCTCATCCATGTCCAGGTCATAGTGCTCCAGTTCGCCCAGCAAGGCGGTCTCCGCGGTCTTAGTCTGGGGGCCGCCCTCTCTGTCTCCTCCGGGGCTGAGCTCTTCGGGTTGGGGGTCTGCGTCAGTGTCCCCCCCTTTCTGGTACTCCGCCTTCTGGTTCTTTTGGTCATCACTTTCGTTGTTGTCCAGAGTCTCCGGCTGATGTTTCAGCGGGGACACGCGCTTCACCGGGCGGAATTTACTGTACACGTCCGCGATCCCTGTGGGCTTCTGCGCGTTTGTAATAAGCGTCGTGACGCTGCAATTCCAGCCGGAGCTAGAAACTGTGTTAAAATAAGTCAGAGGAGATTATTCCATTGAAACACTGAAAACATCTTGGCCAGGCAGGCAGACACGGCCCGCTCAAGTTATGCTCAAAGTAAGCGCCTGTGTAAGGGGACCACTTAGAACGTGGATCATAAAACAAACAGTGCACTTACCATTGGAAAACAGTGAAAGAGAAAAGACCGTTATGATATGTCGGCTCAGAATTAATTAAAGCAGTGGGAATGGTGAAAGCCGACAGCTGAAGAAAACAAACCCAGACAGGTATTTAGGTCTGTTCCCTGGACAGCCGCACCTGCCTGGCAAGGATCTGGACACTTGTCCCCACCCTGGAGAGTAGAATGGGAGGGCAGGGTCCTCTGGCTTAAACGCACTTCCAGACTGTTTAGGGAGAGGAAGGATGTAAGCGCACACATTCACACATGCACACATGCCTATGGACACCCCTAACGCCTAAGAAGGCCTGTATAAAGGAGGGCTACATTGTTTAATATTGGGCAAATGATGGCCGATTGGGTAACTCACCAGATGATTGGTTAGATGCATGCGGGAAAGAACAGAGAGGAACGCAGGGGTCAGGAGTTGACAGGACCCTGGGAGATAAGCCGTGGGTTCGCACCACCCCCCCAGCCTGAGCACCCCAGTCCACTGCTGCTCAGAGGCATTTCCCAGTGCTGCCCGGCATATGACACAGCAACATAGTGCATGGACACTTTGCAGCTGAATGAGCTCTTGAAGATTCAATGCTGCCTCCATTGTCTGAAAAGTTGGAAACAAACAGGAGGAGAAGGATGTCGCAGAGGGAGGGTGAGGTAGGCAGGCCAGTGTGTGTGTGTGTGTGTGTGTGTGTGTGTGTGTGTTCTTGTTTCTGTTCAAAGCTTAAACACTATACGGTTTGCATTTGAGTAAGTGTCTGGTTGAGATGGAGTATAACGCGAAACAGCAACACATTGGAGGTGAAAGGTAAGAACCACCACTTCTCCCAGTTAGCCTCTCGGTGCAGGACGGTGGAGCAACATCCTCAGACACCAGGATACTGCTTCCTCTCGGGGAGACTCCCCTGACGAGATGACAGATGACCCAGGACGCTGGAAACCAGAGGCCAGCGGTTGATAGATCCCTACTCCCCTTCCACTCAGTATACACCATCCCCCATCGAAGGAGTGAGGTTTCAGGACATGCCCTCCAACCAGGGGCCTCTCATCTAGCTATCCTTCCGGGACAACAGCAGGTGGGAAGGTTTTAACCCCAAAGCGTGTTTTTGTGTCTGTTCTTTGCTGTTGGGCACAACAAAAGAGACAGGAGGTATGTATACTCCAGTCTGTAACTTCTGCAAGAGTCTCCGGCTACCACTGATTGTGAGGGTGAAAGTGGGAGTTACTAAAAGTTTGGAAGGAGTTATAAAAGTTTCCAAAATTTAAACCATGGGCATCCTTCCTCTTGCTAGGATGTGTTGTAGGAGGAGTCAGAAGGGTTCTGGAACAAAGCTAAGGAGAAGAGAGTGAATGTTCTGAGCCTGAATGCCATACAACTGTGGGTGGGTTCTTTCTCCAAGACTGACCTCAATATGCAGGGGTTTTCAGAGGGTCTCCACTACATGGTCCACCTCTGAGGCCTTTCTAGCTCTGGCATTTTAGAATCTAAAAGGAGAATATTATAAGCTGTGAGGTGAGGCTTGGATTCTGTCCAGTACAGAACAGGTAGGGAATGTTCCAGAAGGAAGGGATCGACATGCTCTTGTGCTGCTGTGTCTCTTCCCTTTCGTTGGCTCTGGCTCTTAGCTGTACACAGTACTTGGCACAGAGCTGACAATTAACAAACGCTAGTATTTGGATTTGAATCTCACTTTGCACAACACATTAAGCCTCCTTTTTAAATGCCCAAAGTGCATCCTTCCCAGGGATTTACAGCTTAATTTCACAAGGGAAAGAACTTCTGCTAATAAACTTGGAGGAGCACTAATTACCAGTAAGAGCTGGATTTTCTGAAGTTATGCATGAAATGTAAATATGCAAAAGGCAAAGACTAATTCCAGTTGGTCCATTATAAATTTAAAAGTTTTTCTATCCTTTCTATGTCCTTTTCTACCTAAAAATGTAAAGCTATGAAAAAACTAAAGTCTGCCCAAATTTTTTGCCAAGCCTTTCTTTTCTCTCTTCCTTTCAAGAACACATGGTTACTTACTTATTTAAAATGACAGAGATAATGGACATAGAGTTTATAATGTGTAAATATGCCTTTAATTTTATCCGTTAATTTTCTGAAGTGCTTTAAATATAGTGATATATATATATTCACATTTCTGAGATACGTACTTGTTAGATAATGCTGTTTGCTAATATTTTTGCCAATTACCTTAATTTCTTTGGAACTTCTTGAAAATGTGCATCTCAGGATGTAATAAAGAATTTTTAAAGGCACATAACTTAGTGGGCCAGTACAACGAGTGCATTGTACCAATATATTTATGTATTGCATAAGGTCGTGGGTTCAAAGGGCTACTCTTTTATGTTGGCTTTATTTACATGTGAAATTTTTTCCAAGTGATACAGGGAAATGGATACCATATGTTCCCCAGCTGTTTTGTTCTGACAGGAGCCATTAAGAACGCTCTATGGAAATGAATTCTGTCTGAGTCTTATGAAAACACTTCTCTCCACACAAGGGTCTAGAAACTGAAGAACGGGTGTCAACATTAGGCTTGTTGTCCTTCCCCTTACTCAAACGGATGACTCTTTTTTAGGCCAAAAGTGAAATCTATGCTTTCTAGTCTGTGTCTCGACTACTGGGAACAAATCCCAGTCATGAGAAATGGATTATTTAACAGGTCTTCATGAGAATACTCTAAATTACTATATCACATCCTCATCTGAGAAGGACAATTTTACATGTGTGCAAAAGATAAAATTCAATGAGTTTATTTCTCCTAAGCTGGGCAAAAGGGTATTTTAAGCACAACACAAGAAAAGGGGCTATTAATTACTGTAGTTCTACCCCAACACCATAATAAATTTCTTATAATACATGGAAACAAAGTTCAGACTAACTATGGTTACTAGGAAGATTTTGAGGCTCAATTTGTTTTCTGAGGATCAGGAATAAATACTGCACATGTTAACAAACTTTAAATGCCTGAAAATTTTATCTGTTATCTTATTAGATCTTTACAAGCTCTGTGAGAACAGGGCCTGTGAGTAATTAATCTCTCTATTCCTTACATAAGTAGGTTCCTAATGACTTTTGGTTGAATGGATTCATTTTTTAACATCTTACCAAAGTAAACATGTCCAATGCACCTTAAATCTGTTGGCTGATTAGGTCACAAATTTTCTAAAATGGTCAGTAGGTAAGTGGAAGTGTATGTGAGGCTGACTTATAGGCCACAGTGATCTCTTCCAATCTAGCCGGCATTTAGAATGTCTCTGATCACCAGCAAGATATTCCCAATTGCCTGCTGACCATCCATTTATTCAATGAGCATTTACTGTGAGTCTAGGAATGGCTAGCATTTGTCGCAGGCAGCACATTCTGGTTTAGGGGTCTTATCCCTCTCCAGTCGTGCCTGCTTTCACAGTCTCACAAGCAATCCATCTCCAAGGCATGGCTCACCCTTCTTCTCTCTATATATTTGTAATAATATGTTTCTATTGATTTCAGAGAGAGGAGGGGGGAGAGGGAAGGAGAGAGAGATAGAAACATCAGTGACAAGAGAGAGAATCATCCATCAGCTGCCTCCTGCATGCCCCACCTACTAGGGCTCCAGCCCACAACCGGGGCATATGCCCTGACCAGGAATCAAACTTCAACCTCCTGGCTCACCCTTCTTTTCCCTTGATCACTGCCCCTCGTCCCTCAGGAACCAATACCTGCTGTGGCCTGATCCTAAATCCTTCTCAAATCCTCTTTCTTCATCCTCTTACACTGGGGCCAGACCGGGACCCTCGCCCAGCCTCTGCAAAGTTCTAGCTCCTTTTTGGGTCTTCCTTTCCAGTCCTAAGTCAACCCCCTTCAGCCAAGTCTGATTTTGTTACTTCTTAGCTCACAAACCTCAGGTCGCCCTGGACTGTCTAAAACAGGATTTCCTCCTTATGTGGTATGCATGTCCATGCCATATCCCCTGAGAGACTGAGGAAGCTATACCCCTTTCAACTCTCTTTCTTCCTCCTAATTAATTTAAGGGTTCGACAATGAATTTTACTCCTCTCCAAAATGTATAATCTCCCTTTGGAATAATGAGACAACAGGCCATAGGTTCAGAAATTTTCATAAGTAAAGGGTTAGCAGACATATTTTATTTCCATCACATTCATTTTAAAATGATTCCAAGTCACACTGGTTTTCTATTTACAACACTGACAAAGTTTCTTTTAAAAATTAGCGATTAAAAGTAAGTTACTTTAGAAAAATATGTTAAATAAACAATAGTACAAGTAATATGCAAGTAAAGCAAAAATAACAGAGGGAGATGCAGGCTATATCACATGTTGTGGAAATAATAGTTGAATTACTGGGGTTTGGGAAACCCAGGTTTTCTTTCAGGATAGTACCTAAATTCTTTAGCATGGTATGTAGCAGTTCTTTTACTTATTTTCTAATTTATCTTCTCATCTCAGCATCCATCATTCCCACATCACTAACTTTCCCAAGGAATTGTGGCTCCTTGCTTTTCAGTGCCCTGATTATATTTGGCCTTATACAGAGTTGGGCATTTCTGAAGTCCTGTTGCAACTATTCACTCATGTATGTGTCTCACCTTCTCTCTTGAGACTTTTTCAAGGGCAAGATGGCTTGTAAATCTCCTTGTGTTTATAACAAGCCCTCTCTCTAGCACAAAATCTCACAGATATTGGGAATCAGTGGCTAAATCGTTTGATGAATAAATGAATAAAGGGAGGAGAGAAGGAGGAAATGGAAGAAAGGAGGAGGCAAGGCAGGGAGGGAGGAAGGAGAAAGGAATATGCCAGACTAAAGATGCAAAGTGTAGTAAATAAATAGGAGT